ACACAAACATTTATAGTGAAACTTTGTTTGGTTAGAAATGTGGTAGATAGCAATTGTTTTTGTAAATTCCTTTTATTTCACCTTGTGTTATGTGGTTACAACAACATTACGATTTTTTGTTGGGGGGAAATCAGTTAAAGACTTCTCTCACCCTGGGTAAGACGAGAGTTTCACACTCTTCATCGTCATCATCATCATCATCATCATCATCAGCCTATAAGTACCCACTGCTGAGCAAAGGCCTCTTCTCACACGGAGAAGGTTTGAGCATTAATCACCACGTTTGCTCAATGGGGTTGGCGATTTCAAACCTATAATTACAAATTATAAGTCCAGGTTTCCTCACCATGTTTACCTTCACCGTTTGTCAGTGGTGTCTAAATAATCATAGAAAGTACATATAACTCGGAAAAAGTCACATTGGTACTTGCCAGGTTTCGAAAACACACACTCATGCATGAGAAGCGGGCTCCTTAACCTCCGGGCCACAACGACGTTTGCACACACGGTCACACTCTTACTGACTTAAAACCATTAATATTTATTATTATAATTGATGACGTTTCAAATGTAGGTATCTGTTTATGGTTTGACTTTGATTTTGTTGGTAAGCAGCTCCTCAAAGAGGGATCTTATCGCTGCTACAACAGCGAGCCCGGTCCTCAGGTCACTACGTGGTTCATCATCAGCCTATAAGACCACTGCTGAGCAAAGGCCTCCTCGTACACAAAGAAGGTTTGAGCATTGACTTGGACTGTTTGTTTCCAAAATAAACAAATGAATAAATAAATTATTCCCCAGGCGGGGCTCGGCGGGCTCCTTAACCTCCAGACCATGTCACCATGACCACCACGTGGTAAACGATAAGTATTTAAAAACTTTACTATATGTATTTACAAATGTAAATACGTTTACTATTTACATACAAATTGTTTATCTTTCATACAAATCTCGCGTCTATTTAAAACAATGTTGCTTTGTTGTTTCCCGTTCTGTTATTTCAAAGTTGATTGAACGCAGACGGCGTACATCATAGGGAGTATCACGTCAAAATCAGTTTTATATCAAATAATTTATGTTAGTAGGTGTGGGAGAGCCATGCTTCGGCACGAATGGGTCGGCTCGACCGGAGTGATACCACGGCCTCACAGAAGACCGGCGTGAAACAACTACAGCGTTGTGTTTCGCCGTGTGAGTGAGGTTACCGGAGGCCCAATCCTTCCCCGCCCCCAATCCCTCCTGAATCCCTAAATCTCCAAATCCCTAATCCCTAAAAGGTCAACAACGCACTCGTAACTCCTCCGTTGCGGGTGTCCATGGGCGGCGCTGATTGCTTACCATCAGGTAATCCGTCTGCTCGTTTGCCGACCAATTACATAAAAAAAATGAATTATTAAAAATAGTTTTCATAAAGTATTATTAAGTAGTCTTTAACCCGAATGAGCTGAATGGGCCTGAATAAATGGTCCGTCCATTTTTTTTTGCAATGGGAGGGTAACGAGCATCCGGATCACTTGATGGTAAGTGATGAGCCCCCTATATAGCTATATAGCTAGGTTGCCGACCTTTAAACATACCTAACAACAACGATAAAACATATCTTTTTTAAGATGGTATTTCTATACCAACTTGATCTTTCAACATAGTAAGTATGTTTAGCCTGTAGTAATATGTTTCTAGTCGGATGGCGAACAATGATATCTCGCCACTCGACCAGACCCGAGCAGAGTGCATCACGTTATACGCTCGCCTGAAAGAGCCATCACACCACACCACAGATGGAACCCAGTAGGTATGGCTGATCCCGACCAGAGTTACCGGTCAAGTGCATTGATATATTGAAGTAGGAGTTGGAACAGGGTGGCGTATAGTCCATAAGACTGAAGTCGCCTCTTCCTCACGGGGGGGATCAATCGATGATAATCCACCCTCAAGCGGTTACGGAAGCATAAGTTGGCGACTGCGGGCCTAGTGGCTGGGTAACTGGCTGCTATGCAACTTGTCGCGGGTTTAGTTCCCGAACGGAAAAACACTGTGTGTTCCACAAATATGTAACCACAAAATAAAAAACTACTACTGTGGGCCATAAAAAAGTTTTCATACTACAAGCAATAAAGAAATACTATTCACTTCCTAAACAAAGTCCAACGTCCTTCAAAATAACAATGTTTCATAATTCGAAAATTATGAATTTAGGTACACATAAAATTTAATATAGTTCAACAATATTGTTATCCCCGGAAATCATATAAAATTTTAATAGGTATTGTTGTACGTACTTGCGTCATATTTTACTGTAGTTTACCTATAACCGTTTGTCACAATTCCTACCGTAATTATTGAAGACTTTATAGTTTTATTTTTCGCTCTAATGTGGATCACATCTAAAAGAACATATGATACCCACACATAACGAAACTAAATTCTTACGTTGATACATTAGACATAATTAAAGTCCAGTTGTAATAGCTAATAAACTATTCAAATTAATATTTAATGGCAATACGTTTAAATTTATTGTTATTATGTACAATGTGATAATCAAGTTCACAAGCCTCTTGATAGAAAGCAATAGAACCTCCTACCCTATAAAAGAAAAGCTAGATCTTTAAAAAAAACGTTGCCCCACACTAGTATTTTCTCCAGTATCGTGGGTGCGTAGTTACAAACATACAATTTCACATACACATAACACTCAGACCCGAAACAACAATTTATAGATCACACAAAGAGTTGTTCCGTGCTTGAATCATCGAACCCGCGACACGTTGCACGGCATCCAGTTGCCCCGCCACCACACCAGCCGTGCAGTAAAAGTCAAAAGCTTTTCATAAAAATATAGTTCATAATAAAACACTATGTTTGACACTATGCATGGGTAACTGAAATACTTCTGCATATTCTGAAGAAAAAAAAACAATGATTCAAAAATCATAGACAGTACCTACCTAACCTACAAAACCAACAAGTACCTTAATACTCTTATTGTAACGATCGTACATTAACACGAAAAAAAAGATAAACAGCAACATGTGTGGCCATCTAAAATAAATGATAGGATTGCCAGCTGATTTATTCGGCACTCAAATAAAAACTCGTAAATATTCATTCTCTATTTAAAAAGAAAACAATGGCACGTTGGTCTCGATACTCAAGAATATTGTACGTGTACGTGTGTATATGTACAAGAGGTTGTGACGTCACCACAGACCCTGGATTTGCCAGCAATCTAAATCTGTCGCGACAATGAGAAAATTGTTCTTCTATTTATTTGAACTTTTACAACTGGCAATGGGCTCGCGTTAATATTCTTTACGTAGGTACGTACCTAAACTATAATGCTATGTCGATTTTCTCTGAGGAGAAAAACAGGTCTTTACGACACTAATATCTCAATCATTCATGTTGTTATTTTAATTATTAATGGCGAAAATATTTTCAGTTAGCGAAGTTATAGCAAAAACAAATTTAGTCCGAAAGACAAAATAATCGACTGTGACATAATTATCTACTTAGTTCATACTAGTACCTACTTATAGTGGTCAACATAATCTCTCACGTATGTATATTTAGGTGAATCACTGATGCTGTTTTTACACGACTGCCTAAAAAAAGGAGTGTTATGATATTTGTACTAAGTTTAAGAGCAATTTGTTAACTCAGCTTACATATAAATAATAACCCATTTACTAGCAAATAAATCATAATCATAACGAAATAAAATAAATAGTAATTAAAAAAAAACATGTTGCAACAGATAATTCTTTACCCCGGCTCCAATACATAGTTTAGATTGTTTTATCAGATTGCTCATCATTAACATTACAGTACAGGTATTAATTTAATTTACTGAAGGTATGTAACATTACGTTTTCCCACTATGAACCCAAAAAAATGTCAATGAGATCAAATAGCATAATTATCTAATGTATTTTCTCTTACTTTCTAGTAACACTATCAAGAATGAAATATCCCAAAGTTAATAAGTTCATGTATGTAATTTACGTGTTAATTACACACACACGTAAATTACATACACGAACTTATTATTATTTGGCTTTTACTAATACATATAAAAATACGTCTAACGATTGGTTTTATTTTCACGTAAGTGGCGCGTTGTGTTACTTGGCACCGCGCTAGTTTATTGACAGACAGTGCACGGGTGTCCGTTTTAATAGTTCTACATTTATTTCTTTACGCAAAGGTCTAGTTCAAGTGTATGTTGTTCTCTTTGGTAAGAAAATCTACATAGACTTTTCAGAGCTAGAAATTAACTCTTCACGTCTAGTAGAAAAACAAAAGTTTTTTTTTTTGTTTTCAATGTGGTCATCATACTTTGCAGTCGACGAAACACAAAAAAACAGTGTCTTTCTTTAAAAAAGAAACCAATATATCCACAATCAAACAACAATATCCTACATCCAAAAGAAAAACAATTCCTTATATCCCAAATAACAATTTTGCATTGACGCCACGTAAAATAAGGCGCCCCATAAATTCGCAATAAATGGTTCATTGTTAACAGGTGCACCGTCAAATGCCGAATATAGGAAACATAAACTTCGCCGACTGGTGTTTAGTCTGCCCGGTATTTGGGTAACACCATCACCACGGCACCTAGAGATCATCGATAATGGTGTTTTTAAAACCGATCAATTAATCTGACGTTTTAAAATGTCCGACGTAATTATTATTTAGGTTGTGTCTGCGATTTGTGTCTGCGAACTAAAACGAACTGAATCATTCAACCCACTTCAATGTGCAGACGATGTGTCATCGACCAATTATCGAATATTAATCCGATATGTTCGACATTTAATGATCTTGAATAACATCGAATGTTTAGAGCTTTTCAATGATCTTGATTGCCCATTTAGAATAATGTTCTAAGTAACTAATACACAATATTGACCGACCAACAAACTACAAGAACATAGAAAGCAACACTCACTTAGGCACAATACACACGCATCAATATCAAGGATTCTAAACTATACCTGATTACAGTCTTTTCTCGGGCAGGGTACCAAATGGTAAATGTGGCTCACCGGTGTCAGCGGTGATGGGATGCTCGAAGACCGGAGCATGCTCAGCTTCCGTCGCTGCTCAGCCGACAGCGAGGCCCGCCGACTCCTGGCAAGCCCATAGGCCGATACATCAGCAGAGTCCACACTCGTGCCACGAATCAGTGACGGACGAAACATTTTTATAGCGATTATTTAAGAACTTTGAATTGATAGGCGATGCTGATTTGATGATTAACTGTGTGAATAAAGTATGGTTTTATTTAAAAGATAAATTGTTGTTCTGTGTGAATTGTTGGTGTTTAATGGGTTTGTGTTTGTAAATGTCTTTAGTCGATAATTATGGTAAGTAAAATTAATTTATTAAGTGTCATAATCGTAAATAAATTAGTATGTATTTGTATACTACCTATTATTTACTATTACTACTTATATAACATCTGTCTATTAAAATTACTACTCATATTTTTAATACGGTATAAATATGTTCCCTTTTTAAATATTTTCCCATCTACTGTTTTGCTATAAAATATAACAGGACGTTGATATATGTATAATAGTCTATCTTATGGTGACCAATTTTGTATAATTTGACTGAATTGATTTTTAAAAAAAAAAGTCTACAAAAAACCTTATCTATATATACAACGTATGGGGCAACTACTTTTGAATAGAACAATACAATGAGGCAACGCTTCAAAAATACATACCTACTTACATAAAGAAAATGTAATGGTTGACAGTCACATTTTATAAACTTATTCTATCTAGTAAATAACAACTATATGTACATATACCTGCCCACTACTTATGTAAAACAAGTTTAAGTACCGTATCATCATTTGTTTAAGTCTGATTTCTCAATTCTAATCTTTTAATATTTATCAAGAAATGGAGTTTCTTTAAGAATATTCAGATACGTTATTAAGTTGTCATTTATTTTTCAATTCAATCTTCTGAGATAGAAAAGGTGTTACTCTGAGCTTAAGCACTTAATTGAAATGGAAATCAATTCGATTCTGAACATTAGGGTGAGGATCGTCACGGAAAATTGGATAGGTACTTACCTAGATGTTTTAAGAAAATTGTTTTTATCTTTTACGAAAAGGTATAACCCGTACTTACTTGTGAAAATACGGTAGTTTTCAACTAGTAAAATTAAATAGTTTTATCCAAATGTCAAAAACGATACTTTTCTATGAAATTTATATGAGAAACTGCGTCAAATAGCTTATTTATTTCTTAATAATTAGCTTAAAATAATCTAAAACTTAGTGTATCGATCGATCGACCAATAAAAGTAAAGTTATTTTTCAATATGTTATTGTATTGAAACTTCAAATTTATTTATTTTTGACCTAGGAAACTACCCAAACCTTATGTAAACTGAATTTTGAAAAAGTCGATTCTTGATGATGATGAACATTAGTTTTTTTTTTTTATGTAATAGGTCGGCAAACGAGCAGACGGATTACCTGATGGTAAGCAATCAGCGCCGCCCATGGACACTCGCAACGGAGGAGTTACGAGTGCGTTGCCGACCTTTTAGGGATTAGGGATTTGGAGATTTAGGGATTGAGGAGGGATTGGGGAAGGGGAAGGATTGGGCCTCCGGTAACCTCACTCACACGGCGAAACACAACGCAGTGGTTATTTCACGCCGGTTTTCTGTGAGGCCGTGGTATCACTCCGGTCGAGCCGACCCATTCGTGCCGAAGCATGGCTCTCCCACACTTAGTGTAGTCTTAGTACAGTAGTAAATAATCAATTTTTTTTTTCTTTTCTTAATGTAAGTGCATAATAGATCTTTGATGTTTTGTGCGACATGTCCAGTGCCAAATATCTAAATATTTTTTCTGTCTTTTTAAATGTAGGCTCTAAGTAGCAATAAGGTGTATAGCGAGCGCCCAATAAGAAGTTTCCAACTAGTCAAAAACCGGACTACTTTGCTGAAATATATAGCAGTTTGTGACGTCATGATATTTTAGCATCAAAATAGAATACTTATTTCTCTTAAATTTCCTAAAAAAATATGAATATAAAGTAGCTACTTATATCGGAAAATTTATGATTGCAGGTGGGATTATTGAGTACCTATTTATATAGTTTTATACCTAATCCAAACTTCCAAACCAATATTATAAATTCGAAAGTTACTCTGTCTGTCTGTCTTATCTTTACGCCTAAACTACTGAACCTATTTGTGTGAAATTTGGTACAGACATAGTTTGGAACTCGAAAATGGACATAGGATAGTTTTTTAACGAAAAATCTGCAGGAAGTCACTATTCCACGCGAACAAAGTCGCAAGCAAAAGTATTTTTTAATAATTTCCTTTTGACTGAAGAATAATGTGTGGACTTGCCAATTATAAATACCTTAACATATATCAATAAATTAAGTTTACATTTTTACTTATTATGAATGAGATGGACCACTAGGTACTAGATTCGTAAGTATACATATATTCTCCAATTCTATATGTGTACAAGCGGCGCCTAAGTCCTGACTTATTAATATATTTGAAGAAATCACATGATTGATTGAATAGTATAGAGTATTTACATCTTGTTATTAATTAACTAATAAATATTATACCATGTATTAGAGCCTGCAGTCTTTATCAGTATATATATATATATATACATATATAATTATTTTTAAGAATATCAAACTACGAGTACTAACTTTATAATTCACCGAAAAGTATATTGAACAAACTCATTAAAGTTTTTGTATATTAACTGAAATTCTTAGGATCTGACCTTTGAGTAAACATTTGCATAAGTATTAAAAGGAAAATATTCTTTAATTCTTTAATTACCACTATGTATAGTCAATGTTTTCGTAGGTAAGTAAGTATTAAAAATATATAATATGTTTTATTTGTATTTACGACTTTAAGTACTTTTCAAAGCACATCTATCATTTGATTTCAGTTTTCAGATTTTTTTTATGTCTAAAACATTATGTTTATCTGAATAATTCTTGGCAAAAACGGATATAAAGATCTACAAGAGTGACTTTCTTCCAACCCAAATATACATAATGACCCCAATAGTTAATTGGTTCACATACAGAACAGGTCAATGTATTGAAGAGGCAGGGACATAATAATTAAATCATTATAAACGAACGAGTGCCCTCTAAATGTTATTTGTATAAAGAAATTCTTAATTTAAATAAACATGTGTTCAATTAATGAGGTTTTAACATGTGTTGTATGGATGTTTTTATATCTCAAATGTATGTTTATAAGTTGCCAATTACAAATAAAAAAATAAAGTAACAAAAATGTAATTGCCAATTAAATTCGAAAAAGAGAAAGACTATCTCATATTTCTTTTCCCCACAAATCACCTTTTCCTTTCCATTTTTTCAGTTCTTTCCATTTTGTTACTATAAATATATAATGAATACCGCAATCACTTGATATTATAACTGTAGGAACATATTGTCACTGGCTCTACACTGGTTTATTTAAAGAATGAAGAAAGTAGGGAGTGTGTTGTTCTCGGCGTTTTAAACGCGCGATCGGGCGGTTGGCGGTCGGGCCGCGCGGCAGCCGCTCGGTGGGAATCAAGATATGAACTGAACCGAAGTGTTTCGGCGTGAGACAGAACTGCGTGAGTTGATCGGTCGCCAAAACGTTGCACAATTATCTATCTGACATTTAAAATTGGATCAGACGGTGCGTAGACTGCTGCGGGAGACGGGACGGCGCGCGAGCCCTGCCTTTTAAATTTAGAAGTATTTTTTTTTTATAATATTAAGTACCTTATAAAAATCTGAGATTGGAAAACTTTCTTACTATTATCATCTCATTGTAACTTTTTATCGCTTTATTTTTGTTAATTTAATTTTTCAACAACTTTATTGGCTACTACGAAAATTTAGGATATTTATAGACAAATAAAAAAAAAACTAGCGTATCGTCATAATCAACATAATATGATATTTTTTCGTAGAATTTGTATGTTTTTGAGATAATAACGTTTATGTTAATAATATATCTAAATAACAAAAAAAACATTATCTTACAATAACTCAATACTCAGTGCCTATGATTCAGTGTTTATCAGAAGCGCAGTATCTCCTAGTTAATTGCAGCTATTACGCATTGTTACGGCTGAACTCAGTAGGTGATGACCGGACTCAGATAAACTGTTAACACCACTCAGTGCAACATAAACTTCAAAGAATAAACTACCTAAAGTTAAATTGTTAATAAAATATCCATTAATTGCGTTCCGCATTTATTTTATCAAATCGTTTGTTTTTTTATCAAAGTTGAAGCGTGATGTTTCATATATTATCCTAAGTATAATAAGTTTGTTTCGGCATTTCTTCTCAGAATAGTCAGATAGGAAGTGCCGGCTTCATCTAGTTTTTTTTTTACATATAAATTGACGTGTAAAAGTGCCGTTTTAAGGTCTATTTGCAAAAATAAATTCATTGTTTGATTGTTGCAATATTTTCATAATAAATTAACTATACAAGACGAAAAAAATGTGGGTACACTTTGACCTAGCAGTTATTTCTCGTAAATCTTCTTCAGGACTTCAGAAGTGAAATACTGTTTGTGTTTTCTCTGCGAATCACTAGTCTTGGAAGACAATGTCAAAATGCGTTTTTATGTAAATAAAAACTATAAAGCAAAGACAGGATAATCACTAGCGAAAAAATAAAGAAAATAACATTGGCTCGATAACAAGAGTTCGACTCCCGAGCTATCAAAGTTTGTTGACATCGCTACACTTTTGTATTCGTGTTATTACATATATTTTTGTCAGGTCAGGCTAAATAGGGAGCCGTTTGATATAATATGACACTCGGACACACATATCTATCTATATTGATCTTCGGACGTGACTTCAAAGAGCTAATGCCATGTAAAAAGTGTAAACTAAATTGTTTTGTTGTTTTTGATGACTTAATTATTTTGAATAGCCACGTTGGTTGAATGTTTTGATGTAATAAGTGCGTCGACAGAAAAGTTCCAACTTTCTCCAGCCGGTAATAAGTAATTAGGTAAGTAGCAGGTTTTTTTCGAAAGAGAGATTCATCTTTCTTTGAAAAATAAATAATAAATAAGTAATATACTATATTTATAATATTATAATATCTAGTATCTAAATTTTTGGACACCCACTCGTGTTTAATTCAGACACATTTGGTAGCAGATTTTTTTAATAGATAGGTACTTGAGCAGGTCTCACTGCCATTCATCCCACGTTCTCAACCCACGATGTACTTGTTTTTCATTTAAAGGGCGATTAATAAAGTATTTTTCTTTTTTGGAAGATGTAAGGTTAAACCAGTAATTTTAGAAATCTAAATGCCAGTGTTTTGTTACCTTGTTAACTAAACGCTAGGGAAAAATAAAATGATAACGTCAATGTAGTGAAATTATATCCATAGAAAATTCTTTTATTTACTATCTAGTGATAAATAAATAGTAATGCAACATTCAATTTTGCGTTTCGTGAAACAATACTTGCATTTGTTTATGCGGTGAGAGTGAGGTTACTGGAAACCCGAACCTCACTCCTCTAACATTATAAAATTTTTTTTCTTTATTTTTTTCTTTCTTGAATGGCAACCGAGTTGTCGTCTATACTACCAGTGTCAAGTAGTGACGGCAGATTGTAGACCTGTCGAACTTTAACTTTGTGGTAGTTCATTAATACACTAGCTACTCTCGCGCGGTTTCACCCGCTGCTCAACTCCATTTAATCGTAGCGTGATGTTTTATAGCCTATAGCACTCAAGAACATAGTAGCTATGTATCAGTCAAAGAATTTTGGAAATCCGACCAGCGCGGCAGCGGTTCCAAAAATTACCCCCTACCTCAGAATACAGAAGTTTGTTCTGTATTCTGAGCCCCCTACATACTTACAAACTTACAAATTTTACCTCTTTATAATATTAGTATAGATATGTCGACATTTCAAAAGTAATAAGTAAACATTTTTATTTTGACGTTGACATAGACACAAATAATATCTAACAAGTAACACTACGTTCTAAATTCGAATTCAATAAAAAAAAACCAGAAAACTTGTTTCTAAAATAAGTGATAGAAAACAAAAGCTTTAAATATACCTAATGGAACAGGTAAATCCAGTCATTAAACATAAACAATGTGTTTTGTAGATCTGTGTAAAATTCGTAGTAATCGATGATAGTATACTGTTTCGGACAATCGTTATGAGCTCATAGTTAAAGAAAACCGAGATATGAAGGAAAATTTATATTCAAATAAATATTACCTGTTAGTGTACAATAGTTCATGATAAATTCTCAATGTGATTGAAGTTTAAAACAGTTAGAGTTACAAGAGCAATAGACTGCGTCACCAGCCTGGGGCAGGAGAAGGAACGGGGTGTTTTTTAGTCAATTAGAGTTTAGCACTCCCTCACGCCTCATCCAGGACGAGAGAAGTCTTTTTATCATATAAACTATTGCTTTACTGCAATCCTACCTGATCGTAAGCAGAAGATCCAATTGTTAATCGTAAGGCGCACTAGTTTATTAAGAGCCGATTTACTCTAGCCTTGAAGACACCTAAATCATAACTTTGACTGGTTGGTGCGGTGGCCGGGCAACTGGCTGCCGTGCAACGTGTCACGGGTCCCGCACAAATTTTTGTTCCGGGTCTGGGTGTGATGCGTATTTGAATTTGTATGTTCGTAAACGTACACACGACACCGGCGAAAACTATATTGCGGGGCAAAATTAAAAAAAAAATTGGACGGAAAGACCGTTGCAGGCAAGCTATTTAAATCCTTAGGTGATGATAATCTTTAAAAAACACATTTACAGCCTGAATATTTTCGTTAGTCTATAGCACTGGCCTTGTACCTGTGGTTTCCCCCACATGATCAAACATTAAATAGGTTGCTTATAACATACTTCTGTCTCCTGACTATACCCAGAAAGTCGTAGGTACTATAAATTACTTCTTAGCGAAGTGAAAGAAAGAAGAACAACCCTAGCCCACTAATAAAATGAAAGTTTTTATAAGTAAGGATGGATGTTTGTCACTCTTTGACATAAAAACTACTGAACGAATCTAAATGAAGCTTGTATCATAATTTAGTAAGCAGTAGAGATTATTAACTTAGAATCATTCTTACAATGATCTAAATAAATTACACTGAATCATAAATCATAGTGTCGATAAAGATCGAGTGTTTACAACTCGAGTGAGTTGTTTATCGATAGTTTTATTGCTCACATTTACAGCACTAGACCTAGACAAACAATAACTAAGAATTATTAGATACCTTCTATAGATATTTCTGAAGAAACTTTCACCGGCGTGAAACAAAGCCGCGATGTGTTTCGTCGTGTGGGTGAGGTGACCTGAGGCTACCGGAGTTACCGTAAATCTCGCTCCGAAAAACCGGCAACGCATTTCTAACGCCATAGTTAGCACGCTGCAGTTGTCCATGGGCTCTGATTGCTTACCATCAGCATCAGGAGATCCATCTGTTCGTATGCCCATAAAAAACCTTCTGAAGGCCAGTAGGTAAGTAATACTGGGTTTACCTGACCTGACCCCGAAGAAGGAACGGGGTGGTTTTCAGTCAGTAAGAGTCTGACACTCCCTCTCACCCATACCTAATTTAATGATTTTCCTATTTAAAATAATATAATAACTATTTGTTGCTCAAGAATTCCGGTCCGGTCCGTGTGTAATTCGAACGAATTGAACAATTACTTCTGTGTTGGATAGGACAAATGGACTATCAATGGCAATAAAACAACACGCTACAACTCATAGGAGCGAGCAGCGGCTGAAACCGTGCAGGAGTAGATAGTATGAATATAAATTTAATTCATCAAACTCCAAGCGAACGCCGGCGTTCGCGCACCTATTGTTCTCCTATTATGTCTAGAATTGAAAGATAAAGTAACAAATATGACCAAACTTCTTTTAAACTATGTGGTGTTTACGTAATTTAGAATCTGAAGGGATGATAAATTGGATTTTTATTAAATTTAACATTAAATCGACTACGGCCACGACCGAAGTCAATCTATAAATAGCGAAAGGAAAGCTTCCCACTTTGAAAATTGACTCCCAAAGTAATTTCTTTTAGATTTTTCTTCGATTCAAGTATTTTTTCTGAAGTGTTAATTAAAAAATTGGCTTCGAATTCGATCACTTGTTTGATCAAAGTGTTTGTTTACAAAAAAAGTTAATTATTTATTTTGCTGTGTTTTTAAATTTTTATTTGATTTACGATAAATAAATTAAAAATCAATTTCTTTATACATATCTTACTTAGGTATTGATATATTCGTCCTTATATTTGTTACCGGCTATGGACACATTACCGCATCGCCCTGTCAAAAACATTAATGTGAAATGAGAGCCAAGATCGTGTAGCTTACATACTACAAAAGCTTATATCTGACAATCTATTTAAAAATAAACTATAAATACATTACATTACTTACTAAATTTCTTCAACAAAATTAGAAAGATAGAGAGCATAGACGCTTTTGTTTTCCCCGTATTTTCCGAGGTCTTACGTAAAAGAGAATATTGTACCTTTTTTATAACCAAGTTAGGAGCCAGGAGCGGTCCTAACGGAGTAATT